TGTTTTTTGTATGTATTTATGTGTGTATGTTTCTATGGAATGAATGGTTTTATGTTAAGTTTTGTTGCGGCTAGGTCGGAAGTTTGGGTGATTCTTTTGTTTATTGCTGTGCTTTGCTCAGAGATGTCTTGCGTTTGGCTCTTGTTGATAGGGCAGTGGGCATTGTATTTAGTGTCACGTTTTTGTTGCTGTTATTGTTGTTTTTGTTGTTGTTTTCATTGTCAATTTTGTTGTCGTTGTTTTCGTTATTGTTATCGTTGTTATTGTTATTATCGTTGTTATCGTTGTTGTTGTCGCTGTTGGTGTTATTGTTAGTGTTGTCATTGTTGTTGTTGTCATTGTTGTTGTTTAAGGGGTGGTGGTGGTGTCACCTGTAAGTTCATTTATAAGTAGTCGTCTTTTTGAGGGGGAGGAAGTAGGGGGTTGTGCGTTCGATTGGTTGGACTGTAGTGATAAATCTGATGCAAGTATGTATTCTAGGCTATTTATTTCGACTAGCGTGTGGTTGTTTGCATAGTCAAGTTGACCAGAGATAAACAGGCGAGAGCCGCGTCGTAGAGCTTTAGTCCTTGCGTATATATGCGATTTTTGTATTTCGTGATGGCATATTAACGTGAATTCGGTTACCTTGGTGTTGGTAGTTTTTCCACCGGTATATTGAGATGTGATGAAGTTAAATGATAGCCGGTTGTTTTTTTCGACAGGGGGAGAATTGACTGTGCCTAATGTGTGGATCCACGTGCAGAGGGAGGGAAGTTCAGGGGGTGGATTTTGTAGTACGCGTAGGCGGTATGCGGTAATCTTGTAATGAATGGGGGGTGGTGGGTTGTTTATATTTTTTGTATTGTTAATGGGAATGGTATGTAATAGCGATAGTGGAAGAAAATGAAATATACTTTTAGATTGTTGTTCGTATCATTTGTGATATTTCCTTCAAGTTCGATAATGTCATCTTTTTTGAAGCGGTTTATGGTTTCTGAGTCTGTTTGAGTAAGAGGTATGAATGCTTCTATTATGATGTCGGCATGAGATTTGTCAGAATTTAGAAATGATGCGTTAGCGACATAGTAGTCATATTGGCCTCGGATCGAGGTGCGAACGGATTTGATGGTAGTGGCACTACTTAAAAAGTGGTAAAACATGGTAATAGGGATTAGAATGGTTTTGGTGGTAGAAAAAAAAGTAGGATTGTAGTGAGGAAGTTATTATTATTGTTGTTGTTGTTGTTGTTGTTATTGTGGTGGTGGTGGTTTTTTAAGTGCTTAATTCTGAATTCGCTTGCTTAAATAATTTCTGTTTGTTTAATTAACATTATAAAACTGATACTTATAATTGTTGAAAGTCTAATGATAGTTGTATAGTTGGAATGAGGAATAATAATATTATTAAAACGTTTATTCATTTCTATGTTATTTTGTTAAAGTATTAACAGTTAGTCTTTTGGAATATCTCTGTTGTGTGTAATTGATAATAATTGTAATAGTGAATGAGAGATTAGTTACCTAACAGTTATTGATGTATTAGTTATTATTAGGCTGCTTTAAGGTCGACAAATTATGATGTACAGGAAATTTATTATTGTGTAAGGGTAATCAAGAGATCTGCATATACGGTATGCTATTGTGAATAAGCCTATAAGTAAATGCGTCGATGGTGAATAGCACTCACATGATTATCTAGATTAACCGCATGATGTGCTACCACCATAGTTTAATTACGTTACGTAAGTATACAAACGGTACACAGATAATAGCTACCCCTAACGCTGTTGTGGATTATATTTTTACATAATGATTGTCGATCATTTTAATAATGTGGATAAGACATTCCATGTGTCGTTATTAGAATTGCCGTTTTTCACCTCATCGTAAAGTTTGTTAATATATTTGTTTTGTTGTTGGTATTGATAGGGTAAATATTATCAGTTATCGTGTGATGATTAGTAATAGTAAGTATTTTTATTATTTTATTGGATGACATTTTATTATGTTTACATATAATAATGGTGAGGCGATTACTTTTTATTTTATGTTGTGAAAAAGGGGCAGCAAGCATTATAATTGGTGCGTTTCTGCTATATTCTCTAATCGTTCATATTCTTTGATAACTGATTTATCTGTTAAGAATGCTGTTTTGTTTAGCATGGGTATTTCTACAGCATCCCACGATGGTGCTCTACTGAGGGCGACATATGCTTGGCCAGGAGCGAAAAATTGGGAGTCAAGAAAAGTGGAAATTTTAGGCAGTGTTAATCCTTGTGATTTATGAACTGTTAGTGCAAAGCAATTTTGTAGTGGAAATTGTGTTCTTGAGGCTTGATTTCCATTAACTGTAAAGTATGCTGTTTTTGGTGTAATATGGGTGTCGATGATGGTTTTATGACTAATACTAATGAATGCCACTCGGACAATTTTTAAATTGGCATCTACATGTGTGATGATGCCGACTGTTCCATTACATATTCCATCTTGATACATGTCATTATTTAAGTACATTACCCTGGCTCCTGTTTGAAGGCGAACAGTGAGAGGAAGATTGTGTGGGATTTAAGTAGTGATTGTGCTTTTCCTTGGTCCCAAATTTCGTTGTTAATTACATCTATGGCTGTGTGTACTACACTCACTACCAAAAAGTATTGGCCGAAATTTGCTGATCAATAGTAAAACATACGAAAAATCTATTTTTTCGAAA